GTAGGACGTTGACAGCGGGCTATAGGTCGGTGAATCTAAGCTATTGGACGCTGACGGAGGGCTATAAGTTGGTGAATCTAAACTATGAGACGTAGACGGCGGGCTATAAGTTGGTGAATCTAAACTATAGGACGTAGACGGCGGGCTATAAGTTGGTGAGTCTAAACTATAGGACGGTGACGCCGTGCTGTAATAGTTTATTGACACAGGGCCGTTGGACGAGCCATCTCTCAGTTTCTTCAAACATGAGTAATCTGTTGATGACGCTGGTAGTCGTCTTTTTCTTCCATTTAAACGGCCTAGGTCCGCTATCGATGGATCTCTAACGGTAGAATCATTATCATTGTAAACAATAGACACGGACTCTTCATCAGCTGTAGCATTTAAAGAAGTGGAGGCCAGACTGGAAACCTCCAAAACTCTGCAGTTGCATGATGACGACCGAAGAAAGCCTGCTTGCGCGCTTTCCCCTGCCGACAGCTGGGTCTCCGAACCCCCTGCTGTTGTAACTTCAATACTTCCGATGTTGTCTTCCATAAAGAGTTTTTTCAAATGGTATCTGTCCATTGCATTTTTACCCTACTGCCAGGGGGTTTTGTTCGTGGTTTTCCTTCCCCTAGGACGGCTGCCGGCCAAGGCTGAAGAGCCCGCCCTACCCTGATTTGTGTATTGTCCACGACTGCTTATTCGACCAGTTCCGTACTGGCTTATATCGCAGTTGTCCTCTACGAGGAACGTTCCCTTATCCGCAACCTGGGGACGCGCCCGGTAGCCCGACATGCCGTTCTGACGTAATGCCAGTACGGCCGCGGCTGCCGCCCCGCCGAGGCGGGACGGTGTGTCCGGGTATCAGATTGCCTGGATCACCAAAGTTGTCGCCAAAGCCACCGTTAAAGGCGTGAACAAGGTGACTCAGAAGACCACCGAAGGACTCGGAGTGGTGGCGCGAGAGGTAGGAAGGTGATGGTCCATCAGACCCTGTTAGCGGCTCCAAAAGAGAAAGATTCAAATAAAAATCAACAGCAGATGCGAATGCCACCATAGCAGCAGCTTTAATCTCAACACAAGAATAATTTACCGTCAAAAAAATATTAAAAAATTGATGTATTGATGTAATGATTTTTCTAGTACACTTACAAGTTTAATATCTACTGATTTTCTACGTTTTTTGAATTTGTATAGCTTGATATAGATCTTTTATAGAAGTACGTTCAGTTAATTTATTTAATGAACACAAAAATATTTACTTCAACTTTAGTTATTCTACATACTAAGCAGATGTTTTATAAACCAACAATATCGATTTAATTAATTAATGTTAAAGTATTATTACATCCGTGCATAAAATATTAATATTCACCTCGATAAAAATTATTCTGATTTTTATAACGTTAATTTATTCAAATTATCATATTTTTGAAAAAAAAGAATGTAAATTACGGTCATTACGTACAACAGCGAACGAAAATAATATTGTAAAAAAAAAGAACAAAAACTTACGCTGTTGTTTTCATTGTACTCAGGAGAATTTTCTTTCAGTTTATTTTAACACGCGTAATCCGTCGGTGATGGCAAAAGTCTTTTTTCCCAATGAAAAGGACTACCGGCCGCTATTAACAATTCACTAACGTTAATATTGTTTTCAGTACTAGTCGGAGATTTGTACGACTGTCGTTGTGTCCATATTATATCAAGATAAAAACACGAAATGAAAATATCGTAGAGTGTTTAGTGCAAAGAAAGAAACGATGTATTATGAACTATTTTACATGTTTATTTGTTACAAAGAAAAAATTTAACCTAGCAACCAGGTGTTTTCATAAAGAAAACAGCGGTTGTTTATTTCGGTTTGCCATGGATGATACAATTTTTCGGCTACGTTTATACAAATTTTTTCCAATCTTAATTCCAAAAACATAATCTGGGGCTGCAAAAAAACAAACCCAAACGGACTAAAATTGTACGAGTACACGTCCGACCTAAACATCATGGTCTCCCCTCCACCGTGTCCAACCTTTTACCGAACAGGAGTTACCCCGGACATATTAGATATTGCACTAATCTCAAACTTCCATACAAACTTATACCACAAAGTGTTATACGAGCTCGACTCTGATCATGCCCCGGTATTAACAACCCTAAGAATACAAGCTGAAACTAACCCCCCCGTACCAAAACTAATAAATCGACCAATAAAATGGGAAATCTTTAAAGAAAATATAGATAAAATATTAAAACCAAACAGAAAGTACTCAAATTCAAATGCTATAAACTCGGGCATAATACACCTTACATAATCCATCAAATCATCGATAGACTTAGCACTAGCCCCACCAAATTACAAAAAATCTCATAATTATAACACGCCAATACCATCCGACACACAAAACCTAATCAAAGAAAAACATAAGGCACGAAGAATCTGGCAAACACACCGGTCTCCAGCAGTCAAAAAACGTTTAAATCAACTAACAAGAAGAGTAGAATGGGAACTGGATAATCTAAGATATAATTCTTACAAAGCATACGTATCAAAAATAAATCCAAATGACTCAAGTCTTTTGATAGCTACCAAAAGAATCACTAAACAGCGTGAAACAATTCCCCCTTTAATAAACGGATTAGCCAAGTATGAAACTAACATAGAAAAATGTGAAATCTTTGCCCAACATTTTGAAAGCTGTTTTACAACTGATGAAAACCATACAAACCAAAATGAAGTAGTAAACCTTGAACAAAGAAACATAGAAAATCAACCAATAGTCAATCCCATTAGCCCATGTACCCCTAAAGAAAATCCGACTGGGGAGGTGCTTCAGGGGGGTCACTTTTCGATTTTCTCGGAAATTTCACTCATAAAATTCGAAACACTAACAAAACTGAGGAAAATCGGGAAAATATATGAAATGTAGGTATCTATTAGTTAAAATGTATTATAGCTTTTTGTTTTCCTGTGAACAATATTTCTACACGCAATTTCGATCCGATTTAAAATGATAGCAACTTTTCTAAAAGAAAATTTGACTGGGGATGTACTTTATGGAGGTCATTTTTCGAATTTCTCAAGAGAAAACTGTGAAAAACGTACGAAAATCGGGAAAATCGGTACAACATTAAAAATATATATTATTAAAGAATTATATAAAGCCTGTTTAATTGTTTAGCTTTTTTTTCATATTTATATCGTTAACATGCTATGATAACTATCAACGAAACTGCGATCATAATCGTATTTCGTCAGAAATGGATTATCGTTGTTTTGT